TGGATAGTGGGCATTGGAGTGGTGGCTGGAGGCCAGTTAAACTGCTCCTCGAAGTGTTCTACCCATCGTTCCAGTCGTCTCCCCTGCGAGTGAATCGCAGATCCGTCCTTCTCCGCTATAGTTTCACTAACGTTGTTGATCTTTTCCCCCCAGTCTCCTTATAATAAGTCTAAATAACTGTCTACTATTACCGATCGCTGCTGCCTTTCCCATCTCTTTAGCCTTCACTGCCCACCACTGTTCGCGATCGTTGCGTAGACTTTTTCTCGATCTACTTTTAAGTTGTGCCCGCTCTTCATTGTACTCGGGGCCTGCAGGGATGCTTTTCCGTGCATCCATTAGTTCGGAAGAAGCTGCTGATATCCACTGGCTCTTTTTAGCCACTCTTTCGGAGTCGGCTACGGTCTTCAACGCTGCTTTTAAGCAGACTGGAGATGGTACCAAGCTTCTTCTGGATGAGTGATAGTCTTCTGTTCCGACAACTGCCTAGTCAACTTCTCACTGAACACGGCTTTGGTGTTTCCGTTGTCCAGCAGTACTCGTGGTGGCTTTGTTTCCAAATTTTTCCTATGTCCATTGAGACGCAGGCATATACGCACTCAAACCAACACGTGGTCGCTATCCAAGAGTGTATTCCAGAAGGAGCAGCAGTCTTCCACCGATCCTCTCCAGCGATGACTAATAGCAATGTGGTCTATCTGTGTCCATCGCTGAGATGAGCTCGGTGGACGCCACGTCAGACAGTGTCTTTTCTTATGTCTGAAATTTGTGCTGGCTAAAAATAGGCGGTTATCTGAGCATAGTTACAATAGGCGATCACCATTGTTTGTCCGTTCAGCCGGGATTCCTAAAGTACCACCTAAGTACCTTTCTGCCTCACTCAGTCTACCCACCTGTGCGTTGAAGTCACTTGCAACAATCACCACGTTCGAACGTTTGGCTTTCGAGAGGAGGCTTAAGTTTTACTCTTGCATTAATAGGACTACTGTGCTTTCACTAAATCTTACTGCACGAAGAAAGCTTATCGTGTAACAAATTTTTTTCTGCTTATTCATTCTATTCATATTTATATCGCTATTCTGGTTTGTTTGCATTTTATTGAGTAGCGAAACAGATGTTTTTCGAAAGCTTTCCATCAGTGCAATTTCTAATGAAACTATTCTCAAACTGCGTACACCACTCAAGCTTGTTGCCCTTAACGTTTAGACCTTGATACAGATGGGATAAAAAAAAGGTTTGGTTAAGACTCTACAAGACCTTACTGTTGAAGTATGTCGAATCCCCCGATGAGTTGCATTGAATAACTTCCCCATGTGGCAGCTCAAAAAGTGTATTCATAGTACAGTTACTTGGCGATCCTGTGGCGTGATCAGCCAGCCCTATTGGCGTTGCTATCGCACGAAGCGTCAGAGCCGAAGCTGCACTTATTGACTGGATCTCTGTCAACAGTCGTTTGTATGCTATTGAGCTAGAAGTTTCAACTGGAGTGAAAAGTACCTGGCGAGGAGAACTATATCTCCTGGTCATCTCTGCATATGGCCCGACTGACTGCAGCCCGGATGCGGTTGATGAGTTTTACCATCAAGTGAGTGACCTTGTGCATCAGGTGTGCTGTGTGGATGTAGTAGTGCTAGCTGGGGGGACTTGAGTGCACATATCTGGAGTCTAGGCCTAGAGGAGGTTCGTTTAGGTGGCCGATGATGTTAATTCGGTTGCAGGTTAGATAACAAACAGCATCTACAGTTTTGCTTAGATCACAATGTATTTCTAGCCAGCAACAATTTTTGGGACAGTCACCTGACATCCTCCCTCTGCCACTCGAGCTTGGACTCAAATAGATCATATTGTGGTCAGCTGCCAGTGGAGTGGGTGTATTCAGGAATGCTACTCCTTCTAAAGCACCTGTCTGGACTCTGATCACTCTTTAGTGTGGGCTAAGTTCATCTTGCGTTTTGGGGGTCATAAAGGCTATCGCCCTCAACGGGTCGACGTAGGCAGACTCATTGCACGTAGTGTTGAAACTAAATATCAATGGAGCTATGCTAACTGTCGAACCTCCAGAAAGCATAGGTGAGGATTGAATGCACTTTCAAAACACCATAAAAAAGACAAGTAAGCTGTTTGTGGCTTTGAAGGATATCCTGCTGGTAAACACTGGGTCTGTACGGGCTCCTTGAAGCTTTTTGTGGCTAGTCGGTGTATTCTAGCGGACAGTAAGTACAATGATGTACATAAGTCCCTAGTGCAACAGATCAAACAGCATTTGCGTGAGGACTGCGAGGCCTACAGGTTAGAGTACACCAGTGAAATGAAGGCAGCAGTTGTATCCACCCATAGTCGGATGCTGTTCTAGCTGACCCAAGACACCAGCCTGGTGTCAAGGCTAGTAGGTCTATCACCAACTTTCATAGACATCTGAAGCGCCAGGCGGAGCACTTCAAAAAGCATTTTAGCCGGCCTAACGCTGCAGCAACATCAACGTCACTATCTTGTACTCCATGGTCAGTTAACACTGACTCAAGTAGTAAAATGGAGGTCCCTAGGGAACTCCAAGTGTCAAGGTGCCCTAAGGCGCCCAGTCCAGGCAAGCCTACCCCTGTTGTTTTTTAGGATAGAGGGGAGACTGTAGTCAAGAAACTGACTACAGTCTTTGGGAAGATATGGAAGATTGTTAGTGTTTCGTAACTCTAAAAAAATGAAAATATTGCTTTACCCACATTTACAAAGAATTCACATAGAGTGTGATAATCGTCGGGTTATCTGTCTGCTACCTTTAGCTGCTATCATACACACTTCTCAGGCTGCTCAAAACACCTGAGAATCTGATCTGAGAGGAACAGATTAGGATTTTTCAGGTTATAGATGGAACGATCATGTGTTCACCCTTCACCAAATGTTTGGGCACCGTCATATGTGTTGCAGGTAAACGGTGGTGGCGTTTCTTGGCATTAGGGTCGCCTTTGATTCATTGAACAGAACTGTACTCTGAGACTATCTGTTACAGAGGGGGTTCTCAGGAGTGTGTTAGGACCTTGGAAGGCTTGTACCTCAAAACCTTACGTAAAGTAAAGGTATTCAGCTACCTATCTCCATTGTTCAGAAATAATAATAGGACTCGACAGGTCTAAGCAATTTCATCATTCCTCCTCTAACTTTTCCATTGATGGCATTCTAAAGACAACCCTGAATGAATTGGGTGGTGATGTATACCTTTACCGGGTAAAAGGACTACTCGACCTAGAGTATGCAGATGGTATCGTTTTAGAATGTAATAGGCCACTCAAATCGCACTTGATCAGTTACTGATCAATATCCATAAGTGTGGCATATGTTTTGTACCACAAAAGTGTAAAGTACTTCTACAAGTTTGATGGGAGCCTGCAGCTGCACTCACCCTTTGCAATGAATCACTGGCGGTAGCAGAAAAGTCTTTGCATTTGATTAGTTGCGTGAGTGATGGTAGAAGTGTGACATGAGATTTCCAGTGGTATAAAGATAGCCAGAATGGCGTGTCTCACGACTCCCTGAATGCTTAATCCAAGAGATCAAACAACTTAACTTGAGACGATAGAAGGTATTGCTTAGAATAGAAATTAGTAGCGAACATACAATGGTTTTTTTTGTTTCTCCGATCAATGAAAAGTAAAACGAAAGTGGTAAATGCTTCCTTGGTTTTATCTTAAAGCCTATTTCTTTAACAACCCAATTCTGTCTTGTTTTCATTCTGACTTGTTTCCTTAATGTTTTCATAATGTTTCTTCATTATTTTGTATTGCGTAGACCTTGACACCCTTGTTGTACTAAGTGTTTGTTCCAATAACAATACATGGTTAGCATTTCGCTTCTATCAAGTCACAGTATTCGATAGGAAGATGTGAATCGTTATCCATTTCTTTGTGACACACGAGTTAATACACATTCATCAGTAGATCAGATCGAAGTGATTTGAAAATTTGTTAGCACTTCTGTGTGCAAGTGATTTCCAAATTTATTCCTTGGACTGATGTAATAATAGACTATTCTAATGATAAGCTGACTTAACTTCTCAGTAGTATGCACCTACGACCCGGCTAGGCATCAGACTCACGACCTTCAGGGTTCACGGCGAACGCGTTAACCATTTAGCCAATGGGTCGGTATTCAGTGGGTCACAGTTTCTAACTCTTGTCAATTCACGATATAGCGCGACTATCACCCAAGGTCTTCAGTTGGCATCTACTTCACTTCCGACTGGTTGACCCCACAGGTCATGGCTTCTCATCAGAGCTTCATGATATCCATCTAGTGCGTACTGTCGAGGAGTCCCATACTAGGGGGAAACAGCTGTCCAGTGCTCCCAGGTTTTCAATGGTTCTACAACTGATGTCAGTCCATGATGAATACTACCTCTAAATTAAAAATTTCCATTCATCTCAAAAATATGATAAGCTAATGTGTTTTTACTAATCTGGATGAAGTAACCTGCTGATCTGTGTTGCACTGTTCGTTCATTCATTTTTTTTCAATTGTATCTTTCGAAAGACATAGGGACACTTGTAAATCTAATAAATCAAACAGTCAGTAGTGAAATCCCTGATGTCACTAACATTCCTGTGAAGTCTATTTTAAATAATTGAGGCTATTTCATTGTGGTATTTCAGTATATTATACTACTGAATAATGCAAATAAGTAGTTAAATACCAGCGCATATATCGTCAGACTCCTTTTGACCAGACTAAAGTGATTCAGATGCCAAATTCAATACATGGAAGTTACTTATCAATCAAGGTGATATTCAGATGGTCACATTACTCTATGATGCATCTGCTTAGGTTCCTTTGAGACTGTTGATCTGCATTACGTTTGTCATGGAGTAAATATTTGAATTAGATGAGGGAGGTGAAATCAATCAGTTGTAAGAAGTAACTAAGGGAACAATGGAACCTACAAATTATTACAAAATATCTTCAATCTGTTATCTTAAAGAAAAAATTTGTGTTTTCGTTTCGCCTTCCTTTAGAAATAAACTTGAAAAAGAGTCTATTTCTGACAAAATATTAGATCAACATTTACCTAAAATAATGCCCAAAAAAGAACAAATACTTCAACAACACGATCGGAATACAGATCAAGAACATATTAATTTTTTTAGTACAAGAATTCTGCCTTCAGAGAATCCAGTCAATCGTGTATCCCTGGATAGTCAATTTGCTCAACGATCGTTATCATCATCATCATCATTACTGTCAGAGAATTATATCAATCCTTCCTTGCATCCAATAGACAGGCATACTAATGAACATAACAGTAATAAGCAGTTCACAAATGAATTTACCCAATTCAGTAAAACATTCCAATTGGTTACGTGTGCTGTGAGTAACAGTAATGATAATACACTTACAATGACATCTTCACAAGCATTTCAACATGATGAAAAAAGATTATCCAATCTTTCGAATCATTTACTACTGAACAATAATAATTGTCAATCTGTCCCCAATAATACTACTAACGATGATGTTATTAGTAGTAGTAATGATGGCAATCATAACAAATTATACTGTGAATCATTGAGATCTTTGAATATACCGATATTCGATGGAAACTATGCACAACTTAATTCAATGAATACAGATCGAGAAGAAACTACCGACCAGATACACTCAGCGATTCTACAGTCTACATCTACCCTGTCTAAAACCCAGGATATTCTGACCGATTTCCCAACCAGTTCATCATCAACATTACTATCGAATCGGTTAAAAGAGAACGATGGTTCAAATATTACTAAAATGAGTAGCAGTGGGAGTAGTAGTAATAACGGTGGCGGTGCTGTTGTTACATCTGGAAGTACAGCTTGTTGTGAATCATTAAGTATATTGACACGTGATATGATGAGAGCTTACTTGATTGATCGACGGGATCAAGTTTTAATTATACTTCACGCAAAAGTAGCTCAAAAATCGTATGGAACAGAAAAACGGTAAGTGGTCATCTTTTTATTTTCTGTTTTCATATTGTAAGTTGAGCATGTTTCATAGGGTTTCTAGAGTTTTTAAACAAAAAAAAAATAACACTGCTATGCATAATAAATGGTGGCTAAGATAAGCTTGTTGTTACTTTTTCATAAGTGGTGGTGGTAGCCTCAAAATTGAGTAAAGATCAAAAGATACAACAAATTGATCTTCTGAATTAACTTGCTTCATAAAAACAGAATGCAGCATTCACGTATATATACGTTAGTGGTTGTATTACCCCGTCGTTAATTGGACTGAATTGATCGGTTCCTACTGGCATATAGGTTCCTGCATGTATATCTCGATATTGATTTTGTTTCAATTTTACATTAATGATGAGTAGTGGCTAGCAGTGGAATTCAGGATACTCGTTTCGTCTTATTTGGAACTCATCATCTGGACGTACCGTACACGAGCCCATTTGCCAATAGAGGTCGACCAATTCGTTCCAATCAACGGCGAGATAATACAAGTACCAACATAAAAGCTATGCCTGTCCCACAAGAAGTGGCGGTTGTGACTCGGTGGCCTAGTGGATAACACTCTGACGTTTGAAGCAATTGACCCTGGGTTCAAGTCTTAGTCGGGACAACACTCACTGGGAGGAAGATGCATCCGGCTGACGAGTCCCAAATAGGAGGGAATGCGCGTCATGGATTCCATTGCCAGTCACTGTCCATCATTAATCCACGCAGATAGGCAGCACGGGATACATAGGAAACATTTTGGAAGTCGCTTATAAAATGATCAGTAGTCTATTCAGTTTGAAGTCAGTGGATACAAGTCTTTGCAAAGTAATTACACTGTCAAACTCTGTGTTAAATAAAGACTAGGCAAGGTTTGTTGTATGATTAGTTTTAAATCTCCTAAGCATGTCGTGACGTCATAGAGTAGTGATTAGGCATCTGAGGCTTATTTGAAGTTGGGAGCACTTGCATCATGCGACGGAAATATCGTTAGGGTTAATCCTATAGGTAAGCACTATGATGAATGGAAAACTGTCACTATAACTGAGTGAGTTGTTGCTTTGTTTTACTAGCAGTTGCAGCTTAATTTGCCCTCAGTAGTGATCGTCGTTTCAAAGTTCAATGATGTGCATTCAAGTCTCAAGGCGATTATGCAACCCTTTGAAGTTGTTGAGTATCAATAAGTAACAAAACAGTTTCGGAAGTTTTTATTGTTAACATGTAAACACTTGATGTGTAAGAGAGCTACATCGAACTAGAATGGGTGCTTAAGGCATTACAACATGAACCTATGGATTCAGTGCATCGAAAAACCCAATGAGTGTGTAAAAGTGCAAATCACAAGTTTACAACTACCCGCCAATTACCTACAACCACTTAACATCACGTTTTTGCCTCTTTTTGATAACTATCTGTTTGGATAAAGAAATTGCTTAGGGAGATATACCTTCTCAAGTGTTTGATAGGCTACTATATGAAATTAGAGGTAATGAATGTTGGGTGGTGCGTACATTACGGTAATAAATAACACAGTGATAGTTGGTCCAGTTTCAAGTTCTAGCGATTGCCGATGTTACAAAAACATTATTGTACACATGACTGAAGTTCATCCGTCTCTTCGAAGTTTAACATATATATGATACCTACTAAATGAAACAGATTAGTGGGATTGCAAAAAGAGTTTATTCTATAGAGATCATCATGACTCTGATTCAATGAAGTGATCTACACCTCATTTTTTTTAGACAGTCAACTTTCAGCCATTGGATCATGAGTTCAAACATCGACTCCACCTACCTAGGCTTCGGTAACCAGGTCTAATCATTAGTTTTCGTACCATAGGTATCGTTTATTTGCCAGTTCATGCACCTGAACTTGGTTTTTGCATCACATAAGAAAGTTATAGCATGTTAATGACATTCGATTGTGTTTGTGTTTTATTTCCGCTATACTAATAATTAATGATAAGATTTCAAGTTGGTATTCATCATGGACTGACACCAGTTGGAAGAACACTGGAAACCTGGAAGCACTGGACAGCTGCTTCGTCCCAGTATGGGACTCCTCAGCAGTGCGCACCCAGAAACTGATCATCAGTCCATGATGAGTACCAACCTGAAATCAATAAACCCACACAAACCTCCAAATCCAATTAATGTTGTACTCATTGGTGACTAGCTTTGAGAAGTAATTCTTGGGGTTCCAATGAGAAGTCGTAACTGGTGGGGCAAACCTAATGGACGTGAAAACAATTACTCAACGATGACATTTGGTGATTGTCGCGCTATGTCTTAAACTGACAGAAGTTGGAAATATGGATCATGGATTACGATTCAGTGACTTAATGGTAACGTGCTGGCCAGGGAACTTGAAGGTCCTGGGTTCGGTCCGTGGTGAGGCGGGGTCATTAAGTGCTCACTGCTGAAGACTAAGACGAAACAGTTGTCCAATGCTCTCAGGTTCCCAATGATAAGATTGAGATGATATCCCTCTCTTGTTCTTTGTCTGGTGAGATTGTATTCTCTATTTAACGCTGGTCTATTAATGTTTCCTGCTAAACAATCATTCCACTCTTTATTTAGCGTGTTGTCTCACTGCAAAGTTGTTTAACAAAGCAAGAAGTTTAATTTGTTAAACGATAGATTTTGTAACTCATTTAGTTCGATAGCGGCAGTTTCATAGTGAATTTGTATCATTTCTTCTTCTGGAAGTAACACTTTTTTAAAGTCACTTTTTACTAGTTCATCCTTTACCCGGAGAACATATGATCGACTAGAAGTATGTCTACAATATGACCGTGTTACGTAATATCCACGAAAAGATAGCCTCTGAGTATAAGAGTAAAAGTTGTTGAGATGTTTCTCTCTCTCGTGGTGTTAAATGTTTTAAAATTATACTGTGACAGTACTTCGCTGATCAATACAAGTGTGTGTGTGTGCATGTCCGGAGTATACTTTGTGATGGTCATCCAGAAACCACTGACAACCAACAGTATCACTCACGTATGAAACTCTAGATTTTCTGGATAGGTTCCAAAAGACAGAATAAATTGATGGTTAGAGGATTCAGAGGTTATGACTTAAAATCGGTATACAGACATAATGATTATTGATCTGCACATAAATAATGAATATATCTTTATCCTAGTGTCTTTTTCTTTTAATTTCTTAATAATAGGCGTGGTATGATTGTTTCCATTCATTTGGCTTTCATTTTAATGAGTTTCCCTTCTAGAATATATATATATATATATATATATATATATATATATATATATATATATATATATACTTGTAATTTTCCTGTGTTATACAGCGTCAAACTGCTTGGGCGCTGCTGGCAGAGGGGGCTCCTAGGTGGATGCCTCGATAATACCCGAATATTCTTAGTGTTGTAGTGTATCTGGTGACTAGCAGTGGAATCCAGGACGCATGTTTCTTCCTAAATACTACTAGTCAGCTGGATGAACCCGCACCCCAGTAAGTAATGATATTCTCACTGAGACTCTTGCTAGTACCAATAAACAAAAAATAATTCCCGTCACATAAGATATACCTCTCATGTCACATTAGCCTAGTGAATGGTGCCCTGGCGTTTGAAACGTTGGGTACTGGGTTTGAATCTCATTGCAGGTACATTCACCTGACATGTCTTAAACAGGACGAAACACGAGGCCTGGGTTCCATTGGTAGCCATCAATTAAACTGTTATATATCGTTTAATTTACTGCTGTCAGTATGGTGTAAACTTAAATGAAATATCCAAAAATCCTGAGAGTGAAATTAGTGATATTTATGCTACCAGCTGAGTGCCAATATTCCTATCAATTCTAGAAGGGAAACTCATTAAAATGAAAGCCAAATGAATGGAAACAATCATACCACGCCTATTATTAAGAAATTAAAAGAAAAAAGACACTAGGATATATATATATATATATATATATATATATATATATATATATATATATATATAGTCTCCCTAGGTCTCTCTTGATGACACCTAAAAAGTACTGCAACTGAAATACGTTGCTTCAATTCGAAATTTTGAGGGGATTTATTTATTGATTTCACATTGGTATTCATCACAGACTGATATTAATTGGAGACCCATCGAAAACCTGGAAGCACTGGAAAGCTGTTTCATTCTAGTATGTGGTTGTCAGCAATGCGCTTGCATGACCCCCACAAGGGATCGAACTTAAAACGTGGCCAACACGCTGTTATTGAGCCACTGGGTCGGAATCCAATGGTTCAAATTTTCCCACTTCTGTCAGTTCATGATATAGCACAACCTCCATCCAATGGCGTCGTTGAATATCTGTCCTCATGTCCGACTTGGTTAGCCACACCGGTCATGACTTCTCATTAGAACTTTGGGAATCTCATCTCGAATAAAGCCACTAATGAGCTCTAGAGACAAAAGTGGCAAAATGTAGACCATTGGATTCTGACTCAGTGGCTAAGTGGTTGACTTGCTGGCCGCAGAACTTGGTGATCCTGCTTTCGATCCCTGGTAGCGTCATGGGTGTGGTGGGCACCGCTGAAAAGCCTCGTACTACGACGAAACACCTATCCGGCTTCTAATGATTCTCCAACCAATCTCGATCTGTGATGAATACCAGCCTGAAGTATGTTAACTTGGTTTTCCTGAACTATGAAGTCTGAAAAGTGAAATCATTTAATAAACCTTGACACAAGATTTTTCTTTCAATTATGGCAAAAAAGTAACTGAATAACATTTATTTTAAAAGTCTTAAATGAATACTAGAAACAGTTCACTTGATAGATTGATTGTTTTCGGTATTTTCCTGCAAAATATTCACTCGTTCTTTATTCTATACATGGAGCTTTACAAATAAAAAGGAGAAAGTATAGGGGTTGAGTGTGGAGTGGAATGGAGCTTTATAATTTATTGCGCAAGTGAATTTATTCACCTATTAACTAATATCTTTAAGGTGAATAAAACAACAAAATTTTCTATTCTGATGGTAGATAGCA